CCATTGAACAAATTTCAAAAATACTTTTATTAGTTAATTTATTTAATTGAAATAAAAAAAAATTAACTTGTTTTTTATTTCAACAAAAATTTTCTATAATACTTATCTTTTTAATATTTTAATTTATTTAATAACTAAAATCTTTTATTTGTTCAAATGTTGAATTATATTTTATAGAATTTTATTTTGATAAAATTTTAATTAATTAAAATAGAAATTATTCGTACATTTTTATTAAAATAAATAATTAATTAGATATTTATATTTTAATTAATTATGTTAAATTTTAACAATATTTTCAAATTCATTTATAAAAATAAAAACCTAATGCATTTATACAGGATTTTAAAATAATAATAAATCTATATGTTTTTCTAAATAATTATATTAAAAACTTTTGAAATGTAAAGCAAATTTATTTTAATTATGAATGTTTTTTTAGAAATTTTCATATTATATAATTAAGTAAAAATAAATCTAATAAATTAATCGGAAATTTATAATTTTTGTCATTCGAAATAATATTTTTTTATATATAAGATAAATATTGAAAAAAATTCATTTTTTGATCATGAACAATATAAAAAATATTCTTTAAAATAAGGCAATAGAATGTGAGATAATATATGATGAAAAAAAAAACATTCATTTATTATCAAAAGTTATTTCAGTTCTTCTAATATCTAAAAAAAATAAAGATAATAGTTTTCATTCTCTTAAATCATTTTTTTTATTTGACAAATAGAAAATAAAACAAAACTATGATTTATATTGATATTTATTAAAATTTAAAATACACTTCCGAAGTTGTATGTTACAATGATTTTTTGTAATGAAATTTATTATTTTCATAAAGAGTTCATCATGTTAACAATATCAAAATAGGAAACAAAAATAAAAATTAATCATTTTTTTATATTCACATTTGAATTAATACTCATTGGGTAAAGTTTAAATACAATGGAACTGTCAATTTTCAAGTCATTGTTACTATATTTCAAGCCAAAATCCTAATTTAATGAATATACAATGATCAAATATAATTAGAATTGACAAATATAACAGATATTCTCCATCAATATTAATCTAAGAAAGTTTTTTTTTTCAAAAATATCAAATAACCATCTTAATGACACTGTCTATGTTAAACTATGATACAGATGTCATATATAATATGTTTATAAACACTCAATTTATTTATGAAAACCTTAGAAATTAGATAAATTACAAATAGTACAAAAGTAAAAATCATATAAACGACAACTTTAACCAAAACCATCACCGCTACAGCTACCTCCTCCTCCGCTATCAGAGCCACCACTTCCACCTACACACCTAACATCTGCACTACTTACACCGCCTTTTTCACTGTAAAAACGACGATGACGTGTGGTATTTGAGCTCAGTATATTACCAGCAGAGAAACCACTATAAGAGTTACCGTAGTCATTAGAACCTATTCGTGAAGAACGTGGATAATGATGACGACGTGCTTCTTTATATCGCTACATGTTCGAACCCATGTTTCAACCAATCAAATATCGTTGTTTTTTTTACTAGTGCATCTCACGAGG